CCCCGGGCTCCTTGCCTCTCTCATCCCTTGATCTATATGGCCAAGAACAGAACATGAACATAGAGAACATCCTTTTTGTTAAATGACTCTAAGACACAGGAGACAGGTTCCCTTTCAGTTGTTGCTGGTTCTCTTTATAATGTTGCCTGCCCCCAGGTGTCCAAACGTCTTTTCACAGATTCTTTAGAAGGTTCTGGAGTTCCTCTCCCTTTTCAATGCATTTCAGGGAACTCTGGCTGAGGCATGGCTCTTTACTTCCCTGCCTTCAGCTGCCATCACAGAGGAGGTCCCCTAGGCAGCCTCTTGCTGCTATGGCTCCCTTCCAATTAGCAACGCCCTTGAGAAAGGGGGCACAGAATCAGTGACCAGTCAACTTAGGACAACAAGGAGTTTCATGAATAGGACCCTTGAAGAGTTTAATAATATAATTCTCAAAACACAATAGTTTCTACTATAAATATAAAGATATGGTCCTATCTTTAATATTTGGAGCACAAAGATACCTCTTGATCAGTAACTCTAGAAGCCTATTTAATGTATATAATTAAATATGCAGAATTAATTGATTAGTTATATATAACATAATAAAGGTTAAAATTCTGTATGGACACAAACACAAAGTTGACTTTTTAAAATTTATATTAAAAATTCTTCATTTTGATAGCTATAGTAATTTTAGTTATAATTCTTTGAGATCCACACCAATAAAAATAACCGGAAGTTGTTACAAACATGTGGAAGCATATTTTATGTGAATTGTTTTAAAGTTAAAGTTTTCAGAAGTAGATAATGTTTTAGTATGACACTAAGAGGACTTCTGGGTGAATAAACTGAAGTAAAACAGGATCGAAGAATCTCCTTGCCCAATACCTAATGAAATGAATAATATAGTAAAAGAAACATAGCCAAAAGCCACCAAGGAAAGGGGCAGGTCATATGCATGTCATAAATTTAGGGAAGAAGAGAACATAAAATGAAGACAGTATTCTCAGGTGATATCCCAGAGCTGTTTTTTGTTTTTTTAAATTAAAGATTTTTGGCTAAACAGATTTAATATAATCCCATATTTTGAAGGCTAGGGAAAAACAGTGGGTTCTATGGTGATCATTCATGAAATGTACCTCTTCAAAACTCTTAGAAGCATTCCTGAAAAAACATGAGATTTAAACTGTCTCACTAAAATGCCCTAATATGGAGAGAAATGTGCTGAACACATAAGTAGTTACACAAGGGACAAATGTAAGAAAATCCATCGCCAGGTGGAGCCCCCACCAACGCCAAAGCTCCTCCGCAGCTGGGCTTGCCGTTCTCCAGTTCTGCGCTGAAGCGCAGCAGGGTGAGAATAAGAAACACACCACAGCTGGACCAGGGGGCTGCACACCGGCCTGAAAGGCCTTGGCGGCGGCTAGCTGCTGGGATCTGAGAAGAGGGGTCAGAATCCAGCCGCATCAAAGGCTGTAACCAACCCTTCAAGTTCTCTCCCTTCCTCATCCTGTCATCCTGCAGCTATGGAGAAGTAGTCGGATAGCAACCCAGCCCTCAAACTGTGGCACAGAGAGAAAACTAAATGAAACAACAATGACAAAAACTTTGTGAAAGGGTCACTCAAGAAATTCACTTATGATCTTTCAAATTAAACAAAATCTGGATGGAACAGTCTATATCACACATAAGCAGTATGAAAATAATGGCATGACAGCCACATAATCACACTTTTGGAAAAAAATGAGAAAAAGGAAGAGAAAGAAAGGAAGAAATAAATATTTAAAGAAAAAGGTGGGTAAGGTAGATAAAAAATCCAGTTTGCGGGGAGAAAAGGAACTAAAGCAAATCTCCAAAAGTGAGTCATATGTACAGGACAACTGGTAAAGCACAACTGCAGTTTTCAAAAGGAGTGCCAAAAATAGATGACAAAGTAGAATAATATGAAAGTGAAAATTACCAAAACTAAAGATAAAAAAACAAAAAAAACTTGAATCAGACTATTGAATCCAATTAAATCTAGAACTCAGATTACACTCCTGGAGGGAATTATGGTTGCAAAATAATATTAAGGTTATAAATCATGAAAAAATAACACTACAAGCAACGAAATTTAGAAGCTGAGAAGCATGAGGCAGGAGCAAACATAACAGCGACCACACCAACATTAACGGTCGTGAGTTAACGTTAGTCTTTTGCACGTTTGCAAGGTGCAATCCTATTCATTGTCTCAATGGATTATCCCACTTAATCCTAAAAACAGCCTTCTAATCATAGTGTCTTAACCCCATTTTATAGTTGATAAAATTAAGGAATGGCAATACATACTAAGTAATTTGCTCAAGTAAGTGAAGAAACTGAGGTTCGAATCCAGGTGTCCTTGTCATCCACTGTTAAGCACGACAAGGACCTCATTTGAATTATCATGGCTGGTGTAATTTAATTCACTTTTGACTTTACTCATTATTTTCCACATTACTACTTTAAAAAAAGAATATGTAGGTATTTCTACGAAAACAGTGAAGTTATTACTCCAAAAAAAGAAAAAAAACCCAAACCTATGTCATTAATATAAAGGCAGGAGATGACAGGGGCTAAATGATCTCTTACCACATTGCAATCCTTCCTTAGGTCAATAATGACACTGTAAAGTCCTATTTGAATGACATTGGGTAGGCAGTACAAAGCTGCTAAAGTAGAAAGACAATGCCTGCCACTATCAGTGACAGCCAATTCTTGCCAGAGCTGGTGTATATTTTTATAAAAATTAAGGATTTCAGGTTAAATATGCGTAGTATAATTTCACACTTTGAGAGAGGGAGAAATGGTAGATTATATAACGATCATTTGTGGAATGTGCTTTTCAAAATTAAATTGATATGGTGCATGACCCAATTGAAGTTCTTATCATCTTCTGATTCAATCAGTATTTTCCATAAAACCTGAAAACTCCATCAACTAAATCAAAGACTTTAATAGGGCAATATTTGCTTGAATTTAGTTAACTGTACTTGCTTTTGTATTTACTTTAAATGAGCAGACACTTCTGTTTCACTGCAGTAGTGCATAAATATATGAATACACAATATGTTCCCAAATTAGATTTTCCATTTTGGATAGAAATCTAGAAATGATGAAGAGCTCTTCAAAAATATAATTAAATTATCTTTAAGCTCAACTATCTTATGAATTTTTTCATAATTAGAATGACCAGAAAATAGGAAAATGCTGAAAAACCAATATCATGGCTTGGAGAACATAAGTTAATAGGATTTTTGTTAAGACAAACTAGTGTGTGAAAGTGCCCTTCTATCAACATTAAAGGAAATAAAATTTATATATAATAGTTTATAATAGAAAATCGTAGGAAAAGCCAAATAAACCTTAATGACACCTACCTACCAGTTTTTTAATCTTTCATTTCCTTTTCATCCACATTTCTATATGCATCAACAATCCAGTTGGCAGTCTCTTAGGGCGAGGACATTGAGTGGCTCAGCCTTAGCTGTACCGAGAGAGTGAGCAGAGCCCCAAGTCTGAAGGTCAAGGTGTTTGAGAAGCTTGAGACCAAAGAGATGGGGGAATAATGAAGAAGGAAAATATTTCAAAGCCGCATCATTGTTGTATTAACATGTAACTAAGGAACTGTTCGTTTCGTTTGCATTTTGATTTTTGTGAGGTCGAGTTTTTGTTTTTCAAAGACAGCACAGCAAAAAGCACACAGAACTGCAGAGGAGTCCTAAGATCTGGCTCCAGTCTACCCTCATTTACGAACTGCACAGGACTGAATTTCCTAGGAGACAGTTTTAAAGAATCAAGTAAAACATATCGAATACAGTGCTTCTTAGGACACAGAGCCCTTTCTCTATATTCATATTATTTAGTATTTGCTATATTTCTCATTTATATATATGAAAAATATTATAGCTCGAAACAGCCGCTTAGCTTAAAAATATACAAGTAGGAAAGAAATATCAAATCAGATGCCAAATTTTATGATTGACAAAGGAATTTTTTAAGTAAATGGAAATAATTTAAAACGCATGTGTTTCTATACCTTTTTGGACTCCCTTTGTTGCCTTCATTGAGTATGTCAACGCTGAAATGAACAGCTAGTTTAGGAAAACTGCAGGCACTGTTGGCAGGATTGCGATTCGGAAGACTAAATAACTTAAAGACCTGGAATTTCAAAATGTAGTACAGACCCAGAAATTTTAGCTTATGTAGTTTCTAAAATAACAAAGCAGAACACATCTGTGTGATCATTGAACGCTAATGCAGGGAAAGCACCTACAGATTGCAAACTCTCGCCGGGGTCCTTTTAGGGCACAAATCGCTGATTTAGTGTCATTTTCTCTTTTCTGTTGGTTCTACTGGGACTCAGGAGCAGCATGAGCTCTGTTGTCAACCTATCACCTTTCTGGGATGAAGAAAAGATTGGACCGTTCTCCCCTGAGGGTGAGTGAGTGTAAAGCTTGTCTGGGGAAGCCCTTTGCAGTGACACCCAATTATCCTAAGGCTGATAATTGGAGGTGACAGGTAATTCCAGAACCAATGCACAGAAATTTATAAGGAAAACATAAGCAACAAATTTAAAAATACACTTTGGTTACCAAGAGATTGTAGTTGAAGTATCACTAACACCTACCATTATTTCCACCCTCGTTGTTTATTTTCTACAAACACTAAGAATTTTTTCCTCTACAAATCTTGGATTTTCTCTAGCTATTTTTAGTCAAGGTCATGATAGCTGCATAGTTTATGACTTCACTACAAACAAAACTTCTGACCTATTTCCCTAGGCTCTCCCAAGTTAAAAGTGTTCAGATTAGAATTGCAATAACTTTCTCTACAAATCACGTGCAGACTGTTTCACTCTCACTTGAAAGGGAAGTATCATTTGACACTAAAACTCTTTCTTGTATTTAGATAAAAAGTATTTTTCTAGTAGTTTATATTCTAAAAATTGGATAAATATTTTTCAAAATATTTAAAATTTAATATTTATTTTGTGCCAGTGAATAAAATTTATTGGTGAGTGTCTGTCAGACCAGCAGGGTCACGGGAGGCAGCGCCGTCAAAGACCTGATGAGTACAGAGCTCGCCACGGGGCCAGGGGGCCACGACTGGGCACGTATTTGACTCCACAACCATCCGGGATGAGGCGCTTCTCGGCCACCTTGTCATCAAATTTATGGGCATTAAACTTGGTAAAGCCCCACTTCTTGGAGACGTGGATCTTCTGGCGGCCGGGGAACTTGAACTTGGCCCTGCGTAAGGCTTCCACCACGTGCTCCTTGTTCTGAAGCTTGGTGCGGATGGACATGATGATCTGGCCGATGCAGACTCTGGCCACCGTGCCCTGGGGCTTTCCGAAGGCCCCCCGCATGCCGGTTTGGAGCCTGTCGGCCCCAGCACAGGCCATCATCTTGTTGATGCGGATGACGTGGAAGGGGTGGAGCCGCACGCGGAGGTGAAAGCCGTCGCGGCCGCAGCTTTTCACCAAGTACTTGTTGGCACAGATGCGCGCGGCCTCCAGGGCCTCGGAGGAGAGCTGCTCGTGTTCATCAGACACCATGTGCCCACAGAGCGGGAACTCGTCCACTTTGGCCTTCTTCCGGCCCAGGTCGAAGATGCGGATCTTGGCATCGGGGACCGCGCGGCAGAAGCGAGACTTTGGGTAAGGCTTGTTCTTACAGTAGCGGTAACAGCGAGCGGGGCGGCGGCCCATGACGATGAGAGGAAGCGCGGCCGCAAGGCACCGAGGAGAAAGAGGCGCGCGCTCCCACGCCTGCGCACGCGCCGTGTACACCCTGCGCGTCTTCCCGCGCAGGAACCAAAGTCCCCGCGAGCGCGCGAGGTCCTCACCATAGATGCTGCGATTCTGTGACACTACGCCTGCGTGTGGGCACGACTGGCACATGCGCAGTGCAGAGAGCGGCTGGGCACGTGCGCCTATGGGGTTCCCGGTACCGAATTGGGCCTCGCTGCAGGGGCGCAAGAGCCGTTGCCTTCTTGCTGTCCCATGGGGTGTGGAACTCTTGCCCTAGGCTGTGTCTTAAGTATAAAAGTGTTTTCCTAGAGTTTAAATAAGGAAGTTTATATGCTTTTTGTATAGTTTGTCTAAATTGCTCCTTTTCCGGAGCCCGGGTCTGCCTCCCCCGTTTGTAGATGGGTTGCTTTTTCTGGGGCGTGAGGTCGGTCGCTTCCCTGGGCGCGGCACTTTCTGATGGGGCTCAGCAAGAGAGGACAGCAGAGTACATGCAGGGAGACAGAGAAGGTATCTGTTGTACATGCTGCTTGATAATTGCTTTGGAAAAATGAAACGGGTTCTTTTGCTTATTTGGCCATATGGAATGATTTTATTCTCAAAATGGCATCCACAAAATTGAAATGCCAACTGAGTTTTTTAGCTTAAGGCTATTTGCATTTTCAAATGTTACAGCTTCTGGGAACTTCATGAAAGAGTATTGTTAATCTATTATGCCTTACTGAAAATGGGTTTAATAGTTTTTTTCGCCTGATATTAGATTTCTTAAAAATATGATCAGGATCAGAGGATTGGGAAGGAGGAAGATGAAAGAGAATTTATAGATAGTCTATAATCCCTACTTTGATTTTTCTACTGTTTTTTATTCCTTTCTGCCATTTCACAAATCCGTGACATCACAGAACAATATCCTTCCAATGTGAATATATTCTGCTCAAGCTTTCTCTTTAACAGGAAAACAAATAAGTTGTGACAAACTAACTCCTGCCCTTAAAGTGAGTGGGGTTTTACAAGATACCCGTGTTAGAGTAGATGCGTTAAAGCTCCCAGCGTAGAGAACTTTCCCACCTTACATAGAAGCCTGCTTGCTTCCCCTTTCTGCCTTCCTGTTTTCCCCCAATAGTTGCTCTGTCCTGTGTAAGCCTGAATATGGAGATAAAGCAGCAGGACACGTTGTGTTGCCCTCACTGAGCTTGCAAGTCTAGGAGGGGATTTAGATGCTACTCAAATAATACGTTATTATATTACAAAGTACGAAGTTGACCCAAAAATGAGAAGCAGAGTGAGCCCTGAGAGCTGGGATGAGGCCCTATCTCGACTGAGAAATGGAGAGGGAAGACTTTGTCAGGAAACAGATTCTGTATAGTGGCTGAGGCACATGGCGCCTGGCATCAGCGAAGGCCCTGAAGCAGGTGAGAACATGGACCATTTCTGGAACTAAAGTAGGGCCAGTGTGACGATAAGTGAGGGGCTGAGTGGCATAACATGAGTCCAGTGTGTCAAGGGGTTGGGGGGCTGCATATCATGCAGGCCCATTTTACCATGTTAGGGATCCTGCCCTCTTCTTCAAGACCACTGAAGAGCTCTACACACGTTTGATCACTCTTGTTGTATATAATGTAGTTAATAGACGGAACGGGGCCAAAAAATGGAGGCCAGGAGATCAGGAAGAAAGGCTTTACAACAGCAAAGAAAAGAAATGAAGATAACTCGAACATGCTTTTACTATCTTTTATTTTGTAAACATGTTTGTATCTTTTTCTACTCTTACATGCCCTAAATCTGTCATAGTTCTGGGGGAGAGGAGGCTGTAGGGTAAAAGGAAGCTACCCAGCCAGCATTCATGAGCCATCATCCACTCACCCTGCCTGTCTAGGCCAAGCTTTGGGTTTCCAAAACTCTAGATTTCTCTGACCAGCAGGTGTTGTGTGCTGTCAAGGCCTGCTTGCATAATCCTCTTTCATTAATCCACAGGATGACGAATCCTAGTTTGCCTGGGACTGTACCAGTTTTAGCAGTGAATTCCTCCGTCTTCCACAACTCATCTGTCGCAGGCAAAATGGGAAGGTTAGTCGCCCTGCCACACTGATGCATGGCACCTCACAGTTGCAGGATAGAGTCAGAGGGTGGGAAGAGATGGTGAGAGCCAGCCTGCAATTCTCCACTTATACCCCTTTTCCTAGTCCTACAAATACTAGAGAGGAGCCTGTGGAAAATGTAAGCCACACCATTTTATGTTAAAAGAAAAGCATTCTCTTCAATCAATTCTAACATTTTGAGTGTTCCCCAGCTCCCAACTCCTGCCACCCATAATGTACATCATGCTAAGCAAACCTTGCAAAAAAGAATAAAACTTGTCTGCTTTGAAGTGGCCTGAAATATTGTTGAAAAGATGATACATGGGAAATAATTTAGAGTTTTCTTATTGGCTAGCATTATTACTTTCACAACTGCAATAAAAGTTTAGCAAAGGGAGATGCTAGTGTCACATAAAATAGATATGGCTTAAAGAATGAGTAGGAGATATGTAAGCGACAGTAAGGAATAAGGTAAGAAAGGTGCATGGTAGCTACATAGACGGTTAAGATCTATGAGACAAGAGCTATGTCTATTTGGGTCACTGTTTTGTCCCCTGTTTTTGGCAAATTGTGTGACCCATAGCTCAGAAAATATTGGAATGAGTACGCAACACTACTGAGGTGCAGTGGTGTGTTGGTAAATGTTGAAAAGCTTGCTCACTGGGGAGTGGGGGAGCGGAGGCGAGGGAGGGAGGAAAGGCCCTGTTTGTAGATTACTGACTTCCGTGGTGTGAATGCTTCATCATCAATTCCAGCCACCTGTGTGATATCAACCTAATGATGGGGAGAGATGCGCACAATCGGCTCTTGTGAGTCAGTGTTAGCTGGCTCTGCACACTGCCATTTAGCTGTGCATACCCAAAAAAATAGAAAAGACAAACTTGACTCAAGCTAATAATACGTAACCTGGGATAATAAATTTTGGATGAGTAGGAAGAGATCATTTTCTAAGAGCCTCAGAAAGCAAACAAATAAACATGTTTAGACTTGATGATTTTGCTTTGACTATGAAGCAGTCTTTCCTCCATGGTTTCTCTCCTGTTCACAATCCTTATGTAAGAGATCTGCAATATTCTGTACTTATTGGTTAGGTGTGCATCAAGGCAGCCTTTAAATATTTGGAATTAGCACTGGACAGTGTTAGCAATACAGTCAAATTCCCAGTATCCTCTGGATCCATGTAAAGACTGGAAAAGAATAGTTGTGTGTATCCGTTCAGTGCAACACTTTGTTTGCGTCCTTGATACCACATTTCAAACATTTCACAAAAAGCTAAATCTGACTCTGTTCGTAAAGAAGAATATGCACTGGAGTCTAACATATGGACTGATGTGCGCCCTGGATGCCCTCTCCTGCTGCTGGAACCTTTGGCCTTGTTGATGGCTGAGTCGTTATGCAGCCTTCCATCACTTGGTGTTTGACAATAGACTATGATTCCGAGATCACTTCCCCTCGGGCTCTCAATGAGGTGTGAAGCCTCCACTGGTGATGAATAGTCATTTTCATCTGCATTTCTTAGTAACTTCTTACTGGGAGCGATTATCTCAATATTTTAAGAACCCAGATGAGCAATTTGCCTATATTTTCCTAGAGGTGAGTTGTGAATGTAAAAGAGTCATGGTTATGGCTGGCCTTTTCTTCAGAGTCAGCCAGTTGTGTCCATTGTCGTGGCTAAAGGGTGGTCATACTGCTCCATCTCATGCACCAGATTCATAACAGTCTCCTTATCTATTTGACAAATGCACATTTTCTGAATGGAAATACAATGACATGATTAACTATTTGGTCCCAGGGGCCTAATGCATCTTCTTTTTTGACTGATATTTTATACGTTTTGATTATTCTCCTTTTGGGAATCTTTTTTTTTAATTTGAATCTGCGAACTGAGTATATACACTTACCTTTGTGCTTTGGTAGTATAGGATGAGCTCCCCCAAAATGAGTGTTTTTTAAATATTCCTCCAGAAAATTGGACAAAATAAGTGAGGATTAAATCAGGGAGAAGTAGCGCATAAATATGCTCATTAGAATTTCATTGATTTTAGTTTGTAAATGTTTACGTTACTTGTTTAGGTGTCATACTTGTACAGAATTTATAAGTCGTTAATCAGTTTTATATGGTAAGTAATTGCTTTTATAATTATACATATTTAAGTAATGCTATAATGAAGATATAATTTCTAATATATAATAAATAAGAAAGTGCTATAATAGAGCATAATAATAAAAATTCTATGCTAAAGAGGACTTGAATCAATACAAAGAATCTACATATATATTTAAAGGCCCTCCTCTCTTAAAAAGTCTTGGTTTGGTGTGAACATTTGAGAAGCACTCATGTGGGGTCAGGGTGCTGTGTTTGAAGCTTTCCTCCCACAACTGAAGGCCCGGGATTCCTGTCCTGTGACCCAAGTCCCTGTCCATTATTTAAAAGGTGTCATGATGGGAGCACTGTTATTTTTCCCCTAATGCCCAAGTTGCTTGCCAATAGTATGAACTTTTTGTGGTTTACTAGGCTTACAGACATACATGAAGCAAATAGTCAGTTAAACATTAGAATTGTGTAATCATTTATATCCTAACACCCAATTGTATTTCAGGTTAAATCAATCTTGTATGTTTAAAGGATGACCTCTCTATCCACTGAACAGAACTTTTTCTTTATGAAAGTGAACAATCAACCTTAGTGATTAGACGTAAGGGTTCTTGAATTGTGAATTAGGTATTCCAGTTGGTAAAGCATTGACTTCAAAAGGCTTTTAGTAAAGCTTTGCCTCACTTGTCACCACTTTAATCCCAATGGCAGCCAATACTGAGGACTAGATCAAAGATAAATTGTCATACTATTTGGGACACATGGTAAACTACTACATTATTGATCTACTTAGTACTTATATAAAGAATTTGGCCTTGCCCAAAGCTTCTGGAAGTTAATCTCTAGTGTCTTTTCTTTGCCTAGGGAGTTTGACCATAATGGGTAGTCTAACAATGTGGTTTATGGTGAGGGCTGACCATGCCAGAAAGACCAACAATGCAAT